GTCTGCGTCTGCATCTCCCCTCATGTGTCTCCTTGTGTTCTCCATCCCTCACTAGGTTCTCCTTTGTGTCTCCTAGCACCCTCATGTGTCCTTGTCTGCGTCTTCCTCATGTGTCTCCTGGTGTTCTCCATTTTCCCCAGATCTTCAGCCCTCTAGGTTTCCCTCCTCAGGTATCCCCCTCCCAGGTCCTGTGCTCCCGTGGCCCCCTTTAGTCACGCCCCTGTAGTTTTTCTTTCTGTAGTGTTTTTCCTTTAGTTTCAGCTTACCCCTTAGAATATTAGTTATGTTTGCTGCCCTTCTGGGCTTTAGGTTTTTCTCTTAGGTCATTTTCCTTTAGCTACAGCTGTTCATGTTATTAGTCTCTCTAGTGTGTTTTTCCCATCGGTGTTTGAGGTTTTTCTCCCCCTTAGATTATTAAGTTATGTTTCCTGCTCTTCTTGTCTTTAGGTTTTATTCTTAGGTCATGTTAGTTTCCTCCCTGATTAGTAACTCAGTTCACCTTGTCTCTCTCTCCCCACACACCAGCAGGTCATCTCCCTCTCATCCTCCCCAATGTATAAAACCCTGTCTGTGTCTAAATGCTTTGTCGGTCCATTGTTTGGTGTCAGCGTTGTTTTGTGCCTCGTCATTAGGTCTCCAGGTTTTTGTGCTCTTTGAATGAGCTTTTTGTCTCCAGGGTTTCAGGACATTGGTTATTGGCTTCCTGCCCTTTTGGAACATTTTTGTTCTCCTTCCTAATAAAGGAATGTTTTCCTTTACATCCACTCCTGCCTCATGTCGTTCTGGGTGTCTGCATATTGGGTCCAAACCTCCTCCAGGCTCACAATGTGACAAAGTTGTTAATAACGACTTTTAAAAAACAATCACAAACAGCGACTGGCATGCGTTGCAGTTGATGACGCGAAGCTCACTGTCCCAGTTCAGCAGTGCTTTGCTCACTTTGTGTTCTACTCACTCGAAGCCTTACTGCACACTTCCTCCAAGTGCACTGTGCTGAAGACCACAGGGTGCAGTGAGAGTAATGGGATTGGTCCAAGGACACAAAATCTCCTAAATGAAATTCCTGGTGACACATCGCTCTAACGCTCTTCTGTGTTTTGAGAGGAGCGTAGCAATCAGCTTCTCATCGCCTCCTACTGGGCTGTGGTGAAACAACAGCTCCGGCTGCTGTTTTGATAAAACAGATTAAACTTTCCTCTCACCGAGTGAAGTTTTGTTTTTCTATGGTTAAAGTGAGTTGACTCCATTCGACGTGTGCTGGACTTCCAGCTGCTGGTCTCCTGCTGGTGGACGTTTCTGTCCGTTAGCGTCTCTATTGTCTCTCTGTGATCTGAGGTGACGACTCCATCGCTGTCGATGAACTTCTGTCTGAGCTGAGTTCTGCAGACAGCTTCCACAGATTTAACAAGAAGACCAGCGGGGAGGGAAATACTTCTGTCTCTTCCCATTTCCCTCTGCGATCAGACGGGTTTGCTAGCTGCAGGATGACGGACCGGTGCAGGAAAAATCTGACACGTCTTTGTTTTTATCCTCGTGTCTGGAATGTTTGGGCAATTTCTGCCTCATGAAACCTCAGATTTGTCAGTAACTAGTTTTGTAAATATGACCGTAACCCTGAGAGGATTTATTTAGCACTTTTCTAGGCGCCCAAGTACTTCCAGTATTCACACACGCTCACATTCACACACCGTTCGTGATGGAAAGCTATGTAGCCACAGCTGGAGCAGTCTGACAAAACCAGGGGAAAGAAAAAGAATAAGATGTTTGGACATTAGGACTTTTCCTAGAAGTCCCATTGAAGTGAGGGGTATTGAGTGCAATCGGTGGCAAGGAAACATACCTAACCGTAACAAGGTGGACCAGACTGTGTGTGTGAACACTGAATGATCCAGCTCTGAAACGGGACACCTGGGGCAGGTTAACGCCGGGGACACACTGGCCGCCGAAGCGCCGCGCGCCGGCGCTCCAGCCCGCGCCGTGCAGCGATTGTTTCGGCGTCTGCTCTATTTTTTATTTTTTTTTTGCGAGCCGCGGGTGAACCGCGTCAATTCTGGCAGGAAGTCAAACCTAGACATAAGAGGCAGGCCGGTAAATTTAACAAAATAACGCATTTCAAAATAAAATTCCGCAATTGTCAAATGTGTTCGGAAACAGACACTGCATAAAAACCACATGAACACACACACACACACACACACAGCGAACGTGTGTGTGTGTGTGACCACGTGAAGGTGGTGTGGTTTTGGGTGTCTTTCAACCGGAGCAAACAGGATAGAGAAGCAGAAAGTCGTAGGCCAGCTATTAACAACTGTTCACACCATAGGTTCACACACACACACGTACAAACCAAGCCCCCACAATGCGGCTCAGAAAATGGTCTCAACCCGGAAGTACCAAAAATTGCAGTTCCACCCTCATCCACTAGGGGCTGGTGTCAGAAGCGAGCAAATCCTCATTGACTCCCATGTTAAAAATACCAATTTCACAGCAGAAATAAACATGTTTACAGCCTGGTACCAGAACATGTTTTTGGGTTAAATGATCTAGTTTACACTCATGACAACTCTGAGGGGGGTGAATTTTTTCTCACTCTTCTGTTTAAGTGTATTAAAAGCCTAAAATTCTGTATAATTAATGAGCATCAGACCCACGTGACCACAGAGCTAGCTCCGTGGAAAGGCCTCAGTAGAGCCTCGGTCTGGCCTGGAAACTGTTCTGGGATTTTGAGTCTCTGTGTTTGTGTATTCTGTTTTGGATATTATTTGTGCAATTGTTGGACAAAATGACTTGCTGTGGCATTAATTGCATTAATAGAGCGTCCAAGGAGTCTCCACTTCATTTTTTTTCGGTAAGTTAAATTATATTTATGCATTTTAGGTCACTGCCGCCTTTAAACTAGCTGAGTTTATCGAAGTAGCTAGCTAACAATCATTTTAACATGTAGCATGTACTGTTTAACCATGAAATTTAGATGTAAAATACGATAAAATAATTAATAGGGCATATGTCGATGAGTAAAAGGGTAAAACCCAGTGCATTTAACATAAAAATGGGTTGAAATATGACAGAGCTCTTGGAGGGACACTTCTGTGTTCCATTCTTCCACCCGGTTCTCCCCGGCGGTCAGCCCGGTGCATGTCTAACCGATGCGGCGCCTACTAGCTGCTGCGCGGGCTGACCGCTTGTAGAGCTCTCGGACTCGTAGAGAGACCTGACCGCAGAAATACTGCAGCTCAATTCCCTACCTAAATGCAAAGTTTGAGAGATGTGGTTCACTTAGGTCTGCACTGCCTTCGGGCTAATTTGTCAAGTTCACAAAATGTGGAGCGGGATGCAAGGTTAGAATCAGCGGCGAATCGGAACATATCTCGAAGCCCTGGCCGACGAAACAGTCAGCATGACTATTACTGTCAGGCTCGGAGAAAATTCAGGTTGTTTTTGTGTCAGTCGGTAATTCTGCAACAGCGACTCTAACTAACGCAGCACTAGTTGACAGACAGCATTACAGCGTGAAATCCAGCACAGCATGACCCGGTTCTGTAAGGAATTCTGTTCAGGAGGTCGCATTTCAGGCTCTTCACATCATATGTGACTGACGTTTACGTTATAATAACGATCACACACTAGGAATGTTATAAAGCGCCTATATCTGACAGTTTCTTTTGTATATTATCTGACTTTATAAACTCCAACAACAATGTGCTTCTTTTTTTCCAGGCTAAATCTACCCAAGACACTGGCTGTCAGACTGATTTAGTAGTCTGCAAGAATGTATTTGTCCAGCCTGACGTGAAGCCTTACCTGTAGCAAAGGTGAATTATTTTTAACAATCTTCTATGTAAACATTTTATTATCACCTTCTAGTTTTAATTTGTTTTGTAGATTATTGTTACACGTGATTTTATGCTCTTTAAACATTTATAAATGTGCTGTTTCTTTGTTTTTTATAGCCACCCAGTTTAGAGCTCCCAGCTGCTGTGTGTCTGGTGACACAGGGACCATGACGGAAATTCATCTTCCAGAAAGTCTGGTTCATCATTTAGCCAGATTTCTAAGGTATAGGCCAACAATGTTTAGGTTAGTTTTGATAAGGTCTGTGCATCTCTCATTTCATGACGTAACTTTTCATCTTTTAGTTCCTGGGTACCTTCAATGTGAATTTCGTGAGCGCTTCGCCTCCCGGCGCTTCGCTTCGGCGGCTGGTGTGTCCACGGCGCTATCCTGAAGGAGGACAGGTGAGCTGTTGGGGCACAGCTGTGAGCATCTAAATAAGAACATGACACTAAACCAAAAAATAAGCCCAACATCATCCCCCTGTGATTGAAGAGTTTGTTGTGTTGCTTTTGGCATTGTTTAGCCATTAATTTGGGAGGAGGTTGGATTCTTTTTTACAGTTCTGTTGACGTCTGAGGAAAGAAAAACACAATAAAAACTTCAGCTGGTGGTTCTCATTAATCCAAGCAAAACTTTGTGGCAGAGATCCAAACTTTCCAGAGTTGAATAACCCGAACGTTCCCATAGTGAGATAAAGTACACATACCTGTCGTCATACTGGAGATGTTTGGTTTCATTCGTCTGAGATTTGTGATTAATTAGACCGATCGAGTTAACTGTTAACCAGCTGCAATGTCTGCAGCAGCAAAGGTCAGTCGATCCGTTCACTTTCACTTTCACTTTCACTCCTCCGTCTCGCTCCACTGAGGCTTTAATCGCCTCCATCAGCTGATCCCAGGAAACACAAGCATCTGAGGAGGCGAAAGTGCTGCTCTTGACTCAGGTGCTTCATTATCTCAGGTTGTCTTTGACACACTGAAACCACAGGTCAGGCTGGATGCCAGAAGGGGCGGAGCCAACAGGGAACAGGGCAGAATTGGCTAATGAGAAGCAGGAATCTACGTAAACACAAGTGAACTCTATAAACAAGTAATCGAACACTGACTTAACATGCACGCATGCATGTGCGCACGCACATACACACACACACACAATGACTATGACAATGACAATGATACACTCAGAAGCAGCGCTGAAGGCTGTTGATGGTCGCAGCTTGACAAAATGAATGCTCAGTCACGGTTGGTCTATACTGATCATTCATAATATGACATCAACCATATAATCCTGAGCATTACTTTAGTTGAATATTCATTAAGCCTAACACATCCCAGCCCAATGTTTTTTTTTCTGACTACCCCCTGTAATGTGCTCACGGACCACCAGGGACACGCGTACCCCTGGTTGAGAATCACCAGTTTATGGTGGGAATGAATGTTTTGTAAGTCGCAGTCAGGGGGAAAAGCTCCAGTGAGCCTGTTTCAGAACGGAGAATTAAACCAGAGGAAAAAGTAGCTTCAGACGACAGGGTTTGGGGTCGTACTTCCTGATAGTTGGACAGCTCACCTCTGATTGGCTAACAGCAACACAACCCAACCACTGACTCTGATTGCTCCGTAATGTTGATGTTTTGTCTCCACAAACAACACAAGCCTGGAGGAGTTCTGCTGTGTGGTGGGGTTGCTAATGCTAACAGTTAGCTTCTGCTAGCCGAGACGTTCTCTGCTGTTTCCTGGACGCTAAACCAACAACAGCCTTCCCCGTTGTGAGCCAAGACGGGCGAGTCCATGGATGTTAAGTGACGGTGTGAGGTAGATCTGTCAGGATTTTCTAATCCTAGAGTTTCGCCGACTAGAAGCTAATGCAGGAGATAGGTGTAGGAGACTATTTTCATGTTCAGCCTGCATGAAAAACTCAGATCGACTGATTATCAGAAATAATCATTGAAAAATAGAACGTTTTCAAAGCTAATTAGCGTGGGTCATTAACTATTTTCCTAAAAGAACACAAGATAAATGAAATTAAATAATAAGTAAATAAACAAATTTGAACCAATGAGACTTCCCCAAATGAAAACTGAGGCAACTGAATATCAGAGGAACCAAATCTGGAAGTCATGACATAGAAAGCTGTAGTTTTGTTTTAAAAACAAAAAGATCTGGAGCACACACACACACACACACACACACAGAGGTGAAGCCTGATTATCTGATAAGCTGTTCCTGTTTAAGTCAGGCTGATAGAGCGTCGTGGAATTACCCTTTAGCTGAAGCATGTCCTCTGAAAGCAGCCCAGGAGACAAACAGCTCCAAACTATTTGTTTGTTCAAGTGTTCATTTCCCGTACTCAAGAGTGACTGGAAACAACCTGACTCTAAGGAGAACGGCACAGTGGGAAATTCAGGACACACACACACACACACACACATTCACACCTAAGGACAATTTAGACAGACCAGTCAACCTAACAGTCATGTTTTTGGACCATGGGAGGAAGCCGGAGTACCCGGAGAGAACCCACGCATGCACAGGGAGAACATGCTAACTCCATGCAGGAAGATCCCAGCCTGGGAATCGAACCCAGAACCTTCTCACTGCAAGGCAACAGCTCTAACCACTGCGCCACTGCGCAGCCCATGTTGGGCAAAATAAAGCTAAAATCTAAAATGTAGCTACAGTTGTTTATTCTAAAGGATATTTATGTGAAATCAATCCGGTTTCTCGGTGAACTGTTGGAAAATCTCTAAATCTCAAAGACTTATAAAGTCAGATTTCCGCTGCTGAAGCGCTAAAATTCCCCAGAGTTGCTGCAGGTGTCTGGAACCTGCAAGGAACCCATGTGGAGCCCTCCTTAGTTTAGTCTCTGTGCGTCAGAAAGAGGAGGAAGGTGAGACTGAATAAAAAACAGATTGACCCAACTGGGAACACATTGAAGAGACTTTGTTTTCAGAAGAGAACAAGATGCTGGGGGCTCTACGCGACTCAGACAGATATAAAATAGGTGGTGAAATCGTACCGATTCAGGGTTTGACTCAAAGCAAACAGCCTTTTGTGTTTTCATGTCATTTTGTGTCTCCAGCTGTGGCCAAAAGAGAACTGAGTTTCGTCTCATCCAGATTTAAGTTCCGTTCGGGTTACAGTTATTATAAGCTCACCTGCAAACTCAAATCTCCAGGAACTGATTCTTTTCCACACCCAACAGCTTTGCTAGATCAGACCAAAGAAACAGGAAGAGAGCCAGGAAGTTACTCCGCCGTTGCTCTGAAGGACATGGAGGTCAGAGTTCAGCTTGAAGGCGTCTTATTTTTCCCGTAAGTCCTTCAAAGTTGCAATTAGACGTTTTATGTGAGTCACCTGTTAGGTGAATCAGTGACTTTAACAGAAACACGGTACAAGACATCCCTCCCATGTTTCTGTTGATCTTGGCAGATAAATCAGATGCCACACGACTTGACAGAGGTATCTGGGGTTTACCAACATTTCTGCTGGCAAGTACGCGTCACGCAAGAGTTTGTTAGTGTCACTGGCTGTTTCCGGCTGCGTGTTTCCACCTGGCGGCCTGGGATTTGCGGGTATGTGGCTGCACACGTGAACCAGCCTGCAGCGACGCATCCACCTCTTCAGGTGCACTGAGCTCAGGAAGTGAAAGAACCACCAAACCTAAACAGTCCCGACCACAGTTTCACAAAACCGCTTTAAACGTTACAATTGTCTTCATATCAAGTAACGTTTTTACTACTTTGGGTAAAGCCATGAGACAACTCTGATTCTCCCTAACCCTTTTCCGACTCAAGGCCATGGTCTCGGATTTAGATGAGCTGATTCTCATCCCATTTACTTCCCACTCAGCTGCGAACCACTCCAGTGAGAGCTGGAGATCATGTTCTGATGAAGCCAACAGGACCACCTCATCTCCAAAGAGCAGAGACTCAATCCTTAGGTCACCAAAGCAAATCCCCTCAACACCTTGGCTGGGCCTGGACATCCTGTCCACAAAAGTTATGAACAGAATCGGTGATACAGGGCAGCCTTGGCGGAGTCCAACTCTCACCAGAACCGAGCTCAACTTACTGCCGGCAGTGTGGACCAAGCTCCGACACAGGGACCTAGCAGCCCACATCACAGGGCCTGGTACCCCACACTCCCGAAGTTCCCCCCACAGACCGCAAAGGCATCCTGGACAGGTCTCAGATCCATCACAGGGACACACAAACAATTCAATTCAATTCAAAAATACTTTATTAATCCCTAACTGATTGCATGATGTAATTTCATTTAGCCCAAGAATGAGGACTTTTTACTTTGGCCAGGTGTGTTATGTAAGGATCAGGCTACTCCGGCTCCTCTTCATCAGTGATGAAGGTTCCAGGTGACCCACGAGGATTAAAGATCTTTGAAATTTAGAAGCTTTCAGACTTTAGAGTCCATCTCCAGATCAACGTAAATTTGATGATGAAGGTGATGGTGATGAAAGCGTAAAGTAGAGAGTTTTGTTTTGTGTGTTTTTCTTTTATCTTTATTTTGAGAACCAGATGAAATTCCAGGCCGAGTGAAGATGACGGAATAAAGAAGTCACGAGGGTTTAAAATCAGTAAATTCATCCTTGAATTTTGATTTTCGTTTGTGAAACCCTGGACACTCTGCCAACCAAGTGAATAATTTCCTGTTAGGATCTGCTGAAACGACCCGGCTGGTTTTCCGCTGATTGGATCTAAATGTTCAGCATTCCTTAGAACTTCCTCATTTTTTTCCCTCTTTGTTTTCGGAATTTTCTGCTGAGGTTTGATGGAGTCTAAATTGTGTCAGCTGGAAGTTTACAAACACAAAGAAGTTTATGGTGGGAAACTCCACTCAGTTCAGTGAATTTTTCAGCGCTTTGGGCTTCCTGACAGGGTTGCGGAAGGTGCTTTCTAAATAAAGCTTTGATTGATTGATTGAATTTAAATATTCTCAGGCGACATTCACGGATTTCTGCTACAAACAACCTAGAAAAGACATTTAAAACCTCATGACTACATGTTGACACATCTTTCCGGAACTGCGCTGCTCTGGGTGGCTGCATGTTGGAGTAGCTCTGTTGACTATATGTAAGTTTTGCCTTTTCTTGGACAATTTTTCTTCTAGTTTCTCAAGAAAAACTGTATTTTTTTGGACACTTTACTTTTCTGTTTCTGGTGCTGTGAAGCTTGGAGGATTTTTACTGCTATTTTTTTTAGCTTTTGTCACTTTTTGAGCATTTGTTATGATGCGTAACCATGGCAACAAGCTGGTTTACAATCGGGAGCAGCTGATTAACATTGGAAAGGCTGAAATAATACCTCAACTGAAGCCACAAATCCCAAATGAGCTAAAACGCAAGAAGCGTGGGTGCAGAGCGGGAGCAACA